GTGGCACCTCGAGGTGGTGATTAGAATCAACCAGTGGCTCTGACAGGGAAAGATGGACAGTAGATGGACAATCTCTTCACCTGTGACTTACAGTCTCTGAAAACACACTGGAGGGTCAGCTATTAGATATGTCTAATTCTACAACAATGAGTAAGTGATTACAATAGGTAATTATTCTAAGATGAAAAGTTTGGAGGAGGTGGACATGTCTTAAAAGACCTGATGGGAGGAATTCCCACAAATATATACAATAAAATAGCTTAGAGATGAGATGAGCTGAATTAGAGAATATGCAAGAAAAGAGATAAAGCTTCAGAGAGCATTGAAAAACTTGGACAGAAAAAAAGTACAAGAAAGGAGAGTACAAAAGAGCAAACAGTCATGTCCAAATTGGCTCAAATAACAATGTCGAGCACTTTTATTAAAATAATAAATATAGTCAAGATATAAATACTTTGTAGCCACCAGTGACCTAATCCTCCCTTCCCTCACTCATGCTGTGACCATAAACAATAAACTGCACATCTGAAGTCTATGAAATAATCAAATTAAAAGCACCCTTTTGGGAAGGAACAATGGATAATACTACTTCATCCAGCAAAAATGCAACATTGAAAAAGCAGCTCAAAAAGACTACAGGACTTCAAATTCTGTACACTGATAGAGAAAATGTTTGGTTAAATGGTTACCATGGAATTTAAAGTATCATAATTTGGCAGGGGCGCTTTTCTGCAATTCTGATGTCTTTAATAGTATTTCAACATTTACTCTCTGACATCAATTTAAAAAAAGTATGAATCCCTAAAATCTGTCTGATCATTTAGTCATTACATCATTTATTAACTTGAAAGGGGAGGAGTTAGGTGTCATTTGAGAGATTTTTCTCCTTTTGTTTCAAGAACCACAGCTGATTGAACTTAATGAAAGTTTTTATATTATTATGAAGATAAAATGTTATTAGAACCAAAAATACATTATTAGAACCTCCCATCAAAATGCATTTCTATTAAGAAATGTATAGTACTCAGTGGAAAGTTGAAAGAGAAAGAAACACTGAAAATAGCTTTAAAACCACAGTTTAGCTCACTGGAAAAGTAATTTCCATAGGTAAACTTCAGGACTTCTCAGCAGCTGGGAAATAAGCTTAATTTATTATAAAGTCAATAAATGTCATGCATGTTCCTTGAAAAGTTGCACAACATGCTAACATTTAAAAATTGTTCATGACTGTAAGACAAAACGCGCAATAGGTTTTACAAAACATGCAATATTAGAAGTTATCTCTCAACAAAATGCAATGTGTGATACATGATTGTTAAGCATTATAAAAGACACTTTTGTTAAAACTGAAAAAATGTAAATGTTTGACCCTATATTAAATTATTGATGTGAAGTTAAATTTCTGGGGCTTAGTGAAAAACAAATAGGTATTTCTTAGTGCAGCCAGACTGCTCCTTAGAGACAAAGATGATGAAGTTTCATCTCATATACATGCTGCTAAGAGAGGCCATTTCTTGGAGAGATACATGATTTTTGGAAAGCTGGAGGCATGGTGAAGGAGAGGAAGACCCTTAATCAGATGGATTGACACAGAGACTGCTGCAACAGGATTGAGTGAGTCTGAGATTGTGAGAATGGCAAAGGTAGGACAGGGTTCAAATTTCTTTTTCAAAGGATTGTTATGAGTCCTTTTTGTCTCAGTGGCATCTAACAACAACAAGAGTAATGATTTCAAGCTTATATAGAATAATGTCCCTATTTCTAAATGATTGATGTTGAAATACTTAGGGATGAAATGTTTGCAACTTAAGGGATTTTTAAGTGTGAATGTGTGCGTGCATATGTGTATATGCAGAGATAAAGTAGATGTCTCAAAACATTAAGAACTTGTAAGTGTAAGTGTATGATGTACAAGGGTTTATTGCACTACCATTTCAATTTTTTTAGTTTAAAAAACTTAGAAGCAAAAATTACAGGAGTCTCTCAAACTGACATTGTTACAAATAGCATCTCTATGCAAACCCTAAGTAGAACTATATGGGAAAATATCATCACAAAATAAATTTCTTTAACATTTACCCCTATTGTAATCCAGTCAATTCTAACTCATGGTAACCTCATGTATTTCAGAGCACAGCTCTGTTCTGCAAGATGTTCAGAGGCTTTGATCTTTCAAAAGTGCACCAGGACTTTCTGCCACAACACTGTTCCATTGTTTTCAAATGTCAACTCTTAAGTCAAATGCAAAACATCTTTGTGCCAGCCAGGGTCCTAACCCTGTATAGGCACAAATCATTACAGTAGGTATCCTGAAAAAACTAGTTGAGTGTCTGACTTTTAAGAAAATACTGTTTAGGACCAATACTTGTTGATAAACATAAAAAAAAATCAAAATCAAAACATAAAACCTATATAAATTTGAATCATAACTGTATATTCTACTTATTGTTCTTTTTATAAAAAGGAAAATCTGTCTACTCATGATAACTTTGAGAAACCTGCATATTCTACCATTTCATCTGGGTTTATGAAGATTTTAAAGGTTCAACCATCATCACCTTTTCTTTCAAGAAATGAATGATCATTAAAGAACTTGGTTTTGAGAAGGAAAAAAATTATTCATATTTATAAGGCTAGTTTAAAAAATATGGCAAAGGTTGTATTTTAATTACAATTTTGCCCTTTCCTCAATTCCTGCTTTCCTTAGTGAGTTAGTTCAGCATTATTATCACTGGTTTGATTTTTTTTTTCTTTTCACCAGACTCAGCATTTACTAGGCACATAAGATGCAATACTGAGTAGGAAATTCATTATACCATTAAATAGCTCACAGACTGGTAATGCAGACATTGAATTAAAAAATAATTACATACACCATCTATTATCACAGCATTCCCCAAGTTATTTAGGTCAGAAATTGCAGATTGTTCTCTAGATTCCTTGCTTTTTCTCACTTGCAACTAACCTATCAGCAAATTCTACCTCCAATATCGTGAACACATCCATTTCTCATCATCGTTTAGTCAGAGACTATTTTCCCTCACTTGGACTGCTGTTATGGCTTTAATTTAGTATTCCTACTTCTATTCTTGACTCCATACGGTATACTTTCCACACAGGAACCAGAGTGATCTTTTAAAATATAAAACATTATGTCAGTCCCACATTTAAAACCTTCTAATGGTTTTCAGTTGGAACAAAATACATTTTTTTTACCACAGCTGCCAACCATTGTACAAGTTAAAAGAATGAACTATATGATATGAATTGTATCTCAAATACAGTTAGTACAAAGTTTTGTCTTATGTGGAAATTGACTAATTTTATTACCATTAATTACAAACAGACTTAAAAGACAACTGGATATTTTTGTTAGTATGATAAAGAAGGCATTTTGATCAAAGTAAGTCCCTAAAAATTATGCTAAAATTCTAAACCTTGTCCCTACATGAATTTGTTTGGAAATGGGATTTTTTCTTTAATGTTAATGAGTTCATGCCTTGTTAAGGCGGGGTCCTAAATATAATCTCTTCTAAGTGGGGTCTTATAAAAAAAGCTGAATAGGCATACTCCTCACCCCTAATCTCCCAGATATGATACCCTGATTTGGACTTCCAGCCTCTGAAGCTAAAAAAAAATTACTTCTTAATTCTTGACATCATCTACTTGTGGTATGTATTTACAGTAGCGCTGGGTAACTGCAAGAGAAGGTGAAAAAAATCAACATACCTAAAATTGGCCAATATGTGTGATGAAATCCATTATCATTGAGTAAAGTCCAACTCACAGCCACACTGCATCAGGTTTCCACGGTTGTAAATCTTTACAGGGGAGACTGCTCATCATTCTCCTGAGAAACAGCCTGTAGGCTGGGACCACTGATTTACAGTGAGCAGTACAGCATATGTTATGCAACCAGAGCTTCCTAATATTTGTGATAATGTACTTGAAATCTGAAGTGTCTTTTTTTCAAGTTATAGCTAATAATTTCATATATTGATTCATATCATTCACTTTTACAGGCATATTTTTAAAATTCCTTTTTCTTGGAGAGTAAAACAGTATCATGTTGCTCAAAGGAAAAAAATGTACTGAAGCTTTACTGATAATTTTATTATGATCTAAGGAGAAGATTTGGTTACTGCTACTTTTAAAACCTTTAAATATCTAGGGCCATAATCAGTGATCTAGAATTTTGGAGCTTCATTTATACATTCAAACATGGATGAAAACTGGTTCAGAATTTTGGAAGGGAATATTGACATTGTTCACAAATATCTTGTGTTCTTGTTGAACTGCTCTAATACTATGATGCCAATCCTATCCTAGTAATAAGAAGCTATGCTGAAATCCCAAAGTCACACTGTTTAAATCTACCAGTTACTCCTCAGGAGTAAGATTGACAAAAGTTACCTGCCTCTGAAAACCCTCCAGAAGATCAGCTACGGTCTGATTTCAACTCACCAGTACACAGCAACAACATCTCTAAGTCAGATAATTGCTGAAGCTTTCATTGGATTAAAATTACAACATAGCTTTATTCATGGGACAAGGCTTTTCTGGGACCTTGCCATCACTCTGCTGCAAGATGTGGAGGCTTGTGTGGCATGGCGAGCCCAGGAGTGTCTTCCAGCCACTGATTCCTCAACATCTGCTAAAGACTGTGGCCCAACCCAGGTGCACTAACACCCTGGCCAGCAGCAGAACCACTGCCTCATAGGTTGAAGGGTTGCAGTTTCACCACTCAGTTGCCACCTTCACTGTCTAGAACCAGGAGAACCAATATCCCCACAATCCATCACCAGGAGCACTAATATCACAGGTTCTTTGGAGGAAACACTGCTGTCTAGCTACACCACATGGGATAGGATCCCTCAAGCTCAAGGGAAGAGATTGAACCAAGCCAAGTCTGGCCAAGTCATAGTTTCTGGAAAGCAACAGGATTTCCTATTCTACTATTTAGATACTTTGGGGGGAACACTGCTATCTAGCTACACCACATGGGATCCCTTAAGTTCAAGCAGAAGGAACTAGACCAGGCTGAGCCCAGCCAAGTCACAGTTTCTGGAAAGCAACAGAATTTCCTCTTCTACCATTCAGGTACTTTGTGGGAAACACTGAAGCTTAGTTACACAGTACCCCCTAAGCTCAAGCATAAGGAATCAGGACAGCTAGAGCCAGGCAGAGACGCCATTTCTGGAAGGAAACTACAGGCTTCCAGGCTTTCCATTCAGGTACTTTAGGGGAAACACTGCTGTAGGGATCTTAGTTCTGTGGCCTCAGACCAAGAAGGGAGCACAAATATACAGGTCCTTTACAAAAGATTGCCATACTCTGAGTCACTATACAGTTACAAAGACCTAACTTCTAATCAGAAACAATTCACATAATGAAAGCAACAGTCTGCTTCAGTTATCATGAAAAATCCCCTTAAAAAGCAGATCCATGGAACCCTTATTCACTGTTAGTGGGGGTGTAAAATGGTGCAACCACTGTGGAAAGCAGTGTGGCGCTTTCTCAAAAAGTTGCAAATGGAGATACCATTTAACCCAGCAATTCCACTCCTGGGAGTATACCCTAAAGAGACCATAAACGACATCCAAGCAAATATATACACACGCATGTTTATCGCAGCTTTATTCACAATAGCAAACAGTTGGAAACAACCTAATCAACAAATGAATGGATAGAGAAGCTGTGGTATGTTCACACAATGGAAGACTACGCTGCATTGAAAAACAAGGAACTCATGCAATGTTATTCAAAATGGGTGACCATGGAGGACATTATGCTGAGTGAAATATCTCAGTCACAAAAGGGCAAATACCACATGGTCCCACTGTTGTAGAATGGGGCTGACATCGGGGTAGGGGTAAGACTGAGAAAAACTGGATAAATTATGTTTACTGCATTGAAGGTGATGAGGGAGAGAATAGTTTAAAAGTAATATATTTTAGGACATTATGATTATTATAAGAGTCCAGAATGAGGGTCGCAGAGTGGACTATACTCAGGATGGGGGTGGGGGTGGGGGTGTGCAGGGGATTGTGTACCAATGAAGGAGTTTTTCTTTTGCTTTTCAAGAAGAGTGAACTAGGGGTGGGGGTGGGTGCGCATGGAGAAAAGTGTAACAATGAATGAATGGAATTCTAAAATCTCTGTAGATGTTCATTGAAATTAAAAAAAAAAAAGCCATTCCAATGAATATGCCAGATAAAGAGAACCAGAAAAAATATTTTGATGTTGAGTTATTTGAGCAGCTACAACAAACACCCCAGAGATAATAATCTAGAAGAAATATAGTGATGGGGAACACCTTGAACATCTATAGGAAAAAATGCAAAAGATGGAAGAAAGAATCAAAGAGGTACAAGAACTTAAAAAATAATCACAAGATAGAGTACAGCCAACACAGTACTGGAAATAATGAAAACCATGAAAATGTGATCCAGAATATTAGGATTGAAATGGTAGAAGTGTCAAAGAATCAGTGAGATGGAAAGCAAGGGACTCACTGGAAACACACCAGAGGAAATTCAGAGATGAGACATAAAAAAAATGAAGAAAATACTAGAATTATGTGAGACGACATCAAAAGGAACAACGTATATACAACTGGAATTCCAGAACATAGAAGTGACAGGGAAATCACTAAGAAAATTGTGGAAGTACTAGAAGAACACTTTCCAGGTTTTTTGAAAAAAACGGGAAAATTCACATCCAAGAAACACAGCAAACACCAACTAGACTAGACTAAAAAGGGGGGGAAAACAAGACATATTATAGGTAAATTCTTCAAATGAAAAGATAAAGATGAAATATCAAAAGTATCATGAGAAAAGCAAAGAGCTACCTACAAAGGGGAAACAATTAGATTAAGTTCTGATTTCTCATCAGAATCTATGCAAGCTCGAATACAATGGGATGATATATACAGAAAGTTGAAAGAAAACAATTGCCAGCTAAGGATCCTATCCTATACCCAGCAAAGCTCTCCATCAAATATGAGAGAGAAATTAGATATTTTTCAGTAAAGAAGGAACTTATGGAATTTGTGAAAGCAAGACCAAAACTTTTAAGTGACATCCTTCACAAGGATTTGCCAAAGAAAAGTAGATGGATCATAGTAACCAGCAACAAGAGAAAAAGAAACACAGCAAAATGGCAGAAGTAAAACCTGGCCTAAAAATAATCACACTTAATGTGAATGAACTAAACACACAAATCAAGAGAAAAAGAGTGGCAGAATAGATAAAAAAACAAAAAAAACAACAGTCCATCAATATGTTGCCTACAAGGGACACATCTAAAAAAAAAAAAAAGAAAGAAAGACCCGAAATCAAAGGCTGGAAAAAATATAACAAGCAAATGGCAACCACAAAAAAGCAGTTGTGGCAATATTAATCTCTGATAAAATAGACTTCAGAATGAAAACTGCCATAAAAAATAAGGAAGGGCATTACATACTGATTAAAGGCACAATATATTAAAAAGGTATGACTTTGGTCAGCATTTATGTACCAAAAAATGCATAAAACAACGGTTAAAAGAATTTAAGAAAGAAATAGGCAGCACCACAATAGTGGTACCAAAGTACAGGTCAACTCAGAAGAATCTCAACAAAGATGCAGAAGATCTAAACTATACCATCAGCCAACTTGAACTTCTAGATGTATCCAGGATACTGCACCCAACTAAAACTCAATTCACTGTATTTTCCAGTGCATATGGTACATTCTCCAGGATCAATCACATATTAGGACACAAAGCCAGGCTAACCAAATTCAAAAACATTGAAATAATACAAAGTATTTTATCAGACCACAATGCCCTAAAATGAGAAATTAACCACAGGAGAAGAAAGCTTACAAAACCCACCAATGTGGAAACTAAATAAATCTCTGCTAGAACACAACTGGGTAAAAAAAAGAAATAAAAAATGAAATTTAAAAGTTTCTTGAAACAAATGAAAATAAAAACAAAACCTACCAAAACCTCTATATAGCTAAGGTAGTCCTCAGGAAGCAGTTCATAGCAATAGGCACACACATAAAAAAGGAAGAAAAAAGAAAAAATCAATTATCTAACTCAACACCTTCATCAAAGAAAAAATAAATAATAACAATCTAATCCTACAGCCTCTAGAAGAAGAGAAATTATAAGGATACGAGCTGAAATCAATGTGATAGAAAACAGAAAAACAACTGAAAGCATCAATAAGACCACAAACTGATTTTTCAAAAGGGTCAATAAAATTGGCAAACCATTGTCAAATTTAACAAAAGAAAAGAAAAAAAAGACACAGATCACTTGACTAATGATAGAGGCAACATCAAAGAATTAAATTTATAATATTAGAATACTAGGAAAAGCTATACTCTAATAAATTTGAAAACATAGAGGAAATGGACAAATTCCTTGAAACTCATGTCCTACCCAGATAGACAAGGAAAGACATAGAAACACTTGAACACACCCGTCACAAAAGAGGAAATTGAATAGGTCATAAAAATATTTCCCCATAACAGAAAGTCCTGGACCAGACTCCTTCAAGCTGAATTATACCAAATATTCAGAGAGGATCTATCACCAATCTTACTTAAATTATTTTGTAAAAAAAATTAAAAAGAAGGAACACTCTCAGAGACATTCTATGAAGCAAGCAAAACCCTAATCTCAAAACCAGGGAAAGATATTACCAAAAAAGAAAACTACAGACTAATATCTCTCATGAATATAGAAAAAAAAATCCTAGTAAATAGAATAAAAAAGCATAATTTATCATGACCAAGTGGGATTCATAAGAGGTATGCATAGAAAGTTCAACATAAGAAAAATAATCAACGTAATTCACCATATTAACAAAGGAAATGACAAGAAAAATATGATATTAGTAATTCATACAGAAAAGGCATTTAAAAAAAATCCAGCACCCCTTCCTGATAAAGACACTCAGTAAAATTGTAATAGAAGAATATTTCCTCAACATAGTGAAAAGCATATATGCAAAACCAATATAAGCCAATATCATTCTCAAGGGAGAAAGATTAAAAGCATTTTCCTTGTGAACAGGGACCAGAAAAGGATACCTACTGTTACCACTTCTATTCAATATTGTATTGGAAGTGCTTGATATGGCAATACGACAAAAGAAGAAAATAAAAGGCATCCAGATCAGCAAAGAAATGGTTAAATTATCGCTATGAATATCACATGCAGTTGATATGATAGAGTACACAGAAAACCCCAGAGACTCAACAAAAAAGACTGTTAGAGCTAATATATCAATTTAATAGAGTGCCAGGAATAAGATAAATATCAAAAAAATCAGTGGGATTCCTGTACAATAACAAAGACAACTCAGAAAAGGAAACCAAGTAAACAATACCATTTACATTAGGCAATCACAAATTGAGATACTTGGAAGTGAACCTAACTAGAGACAAAAAAGACCTGTACAAAGAAAACTACAGAACATTTCTACGAGACACAATAAAAGACCAAAAGAAATGGGAAAATGTTCCCTGTTAATGGATAGGAAGATTCAATATTTTGAAAATTATAATTCTACCAAAAGCAATCTACATGTTCAATGCAATCCCAACACAGATATTAAATTTGTTTTTCAAGGAGATCGAAGTAAATTGTCAAGTTTATTAGAAAAGAGACCCTGAATAAGTAAAGCACCTCTGAGAAACAAAAATGAAATGGGAGGCATAGCACTCCCTGACCTTAAAACCTACTACACAGCAGTATTAACCAAAACAGCATGGTACTGGTACAATGACAGGCACATATACCAAAGGAAGAGAATTGAGAACCCAGAAATGAACCCATCTATCCATGGTCAACTGATGCTGGACAAGGAAATAAAACCAATCAAATGGGGAAATGCCAACCTCTTCAACAAATGGTGCTGGCAAAACTGGACTGCACTGCTCCCTGAAGAAACCTGTAGTATGATCTACATCTCACACCAAACACAAAAATCACCTCAAGGTGGATCAGAAACCTGGGAGTAAAGGCCCAAACCATAAAGGTCATCAGAAATAAACTGTGATCAAGCTTAGACAGCCTAGTCTATGGAATAAAGAGACTTCCAAATACAGCCAGAAATGCACGATCTGGAGAGGATAAACTTCATGAATGGGACCTTCTAAAGATTAAATCCCTGTATGCATCAGAACCTTTTTCCAACAGAGTGAAAAGGAAATCTACCAACTGGGAAAAAACA